ACTGCGTGCCTGCATTATGCACGTTGATTATCTACATCTACTCCTCTATCAGAGAGAGCGGTCTGCTAATTGACGTTAATTGTCTTACATCAATTAGTGTACTCCAGCTGTTGTACAACAGATTAGTGAATGTACCGAGTGAAACCACTGTCAAATTACAGATGCAATTAAGTTCGTTTTCAATGAAGATTCGCAGCTTGATGTCCGGCTTTGTTCCGACAAATACTTTCTGTGTTGTTCGGGTATTTTTTGGATGTGGCAATGATCGCAGTTTTTTTTTTTTTTTTTTTTTTTTTTTTATAAATGAGTGTGTTTCTGATGCGCAATGAGTTATTGATTCTTTTAAGTGTATTACACGATAGGCTTAATTTGAAGAAGTATCTTTGTATTGCAAGAAATATCTTTGACACAGATACAGATCTTATCTCTGTCAGACGATGACACTAATCGAGGATATCATTGGGCGCTGGCTATGGTGGCATAGTTACTCACAGAATCGACCAACCAACTCAGGTCGTCGAACTTGGATCACCGATTGGTAGGTTTACGTATAACCATAGATAAAAGGAGTATCCTTTTATCTATGGTATAACTATCACTTCTTGGAAAAAAATGTAATGTAGGAAAAATTAATTGAAGATTTTACTAACAAAAAGCCCTAGAAAGTTCACGTTTTTTGAGTCTTAGATAAAGTAAGTTTTATCAATCATTCTCTTATATGATTTGTAATACACATAAACCCGCATAAGCCTTTACAACCCCCTCACCTCACGGTGAATTGTCCCTTAAAATGTAGCTACTGTATTTGAAATAACGTAGAAGCTTTAGAGTGTTAGGTAAAATCAAAATAAAGGTATACTCAAAAAGTAAAAATCCTCTCATGACCAAAATAGATTTGTTTCCTTTCAATCAATAGTATTTTGAATACTATCTGTAGAACTGAAACTTGGGTTAAAATCTCCCACAAACCCTGTTCTCTGCTTGGTCATGATTGCCGTCCCGTTGCGTTGGTCATCAGGGTTCGCGTGACTAGGTTTTTACCAACAATCACTTTAGCAATTCCACAACTCTACTCTGTGTCCGACATTGTTGGATGTTTGTTGTCTTCCTTGAACAGAAGAAATGACAAGAAAGTTGGGAAGTGACAGGAAAAACGAATCTTTCCATCGTCGTAGAGTTCAACGTATTTTAAGTATGTTCGTTCTTTGATCATTGCTATATTGTGCATACCCCATACGATCACTTAGAAACGTTGGGGGTTCGCTCTTTGGAATCGGACGTACCTTATGGGAGATTTCTGTCATATTCTAATCTAATAAAGTTAGATCACAACCCTGCGCCTTTGAAAGTAACCATGTCAATTGCATTTCCATGGTTTTTCTTATTTCCATGGTTTTTTATCGTGATTTTAGAATTATTGCGGTTTTCATGGAAACCGTTAGATAACTACAGTCATTTCTTACATTGTTTTGAGTAGTTTTAAAATAGTTTGAATTTCAAATTTTGAATTATTGATTGGTTTCCAGGGAAACGAAAAGGTTGAAAAACAACGGTTACATATTATTTACCTAATTAGTTAATGTCTCTCAATTTACAATCGCTAACAGCTAAACTTCGACTGTTTTTAAAACATCTAATCGTATACTTTAGTGATACAATTTATTATAGAAATATAAATGTGTAATAAAAATAAGGGGCCGATCTAGCCGTTTTCTGTAGTAGGTATAAACACTTTTCCGCTCAGAGACCATTTCGTTATGATAGCACTGGTAAAACTGACATCGACTGTACATAACATCGTTTTAAAATCGTACTTATACCCCAATGTAAAGTTATGTAGAAAATATTATATACAAGCAGCACGGGCAGTACATAAATTTGAATACAATAATGAGTTTAGCCTATACAACATTTGGTATAATTTTAGTACCACGTGTTGAAAGACTGACAAGTAACCACAGATATTTCAATTATCTCTGTAACGGGTTAGGTCATTCGACCACAACCGTCAGAATCAAAACCATCTGTCATCTGTGGTTGTAGGCTGGTCTTCAATTTGGGCCACATGCCCCCCACCTTCATATCCCCCTAGGGGGTACCCTCTATTATATTCTTCACAGTAGGTTCGCCCCCTTATTTTGCCCACTCTGGTCTTTGAACTGAATCTCTGTATTGGTGTCAACAGTTATTATTATTTCCAACCGTACATGGATTTTTAATTTACTTATACTATGGACTATAAAATCCTCAACCCTTCATTGAGGTATAATTGTAGTGATAGTTTACCTTTATTATGTGTTCTAATACAACTCACATGCATTTTTGGCAAATGCTACAAATTCACAGGAAAATATCTAATTTGATAAGTAGTGAAAGGAACGGTCTCTTGTTTTATAGATCAGAACAATGACTTTTGTCTGACGTTTTTGTAACTTTCTCGACTGCGAATTCAACGCGATCAGCTGTCAATGATCCACGTTTATAGTTTTTTGGCGGAATGAAACTGTAGTTCGTCGATATTATGGATATTGAAGTTTTTTAGCTTGTTTGAACAGCAAGTTTTGAATACTTAATATCATTGACTGCAATTTACAGTAGAACCTGATAAGAAGACCCTCGATAATAAGTCTCCCTTGATAACAAGTGTCATTTTCAAATCCCCTTGAATTTATTTCACCCCAAATATCGTGTTATTGCAAACCTCAATAAGGAGTCAACCTTGATAACAAGTCTCATTTAATAATCCCCTTGAGAGTCTTGTTATCAAGGTTCTACTGTACTATACATTCATCTACTAATACATAGAGAACTAGATGCGGATCTGTAGTGCACGGTTGATGTTTCTGCAAACCACACATTTTGTAAACCTTAAACAATGATCTTGCCTAACAAATCTTGATTTGATAGTGTCGATTATTGATACCATGGATAAAACTTACTGTATTCCCTTATGTTTCACCCTTATCAATCAAATCGAGATGATAATGAGGTTTATGCCTGGTAACGCTGGAAATCATTGCTGTCTTAAAAAGGACATTCGCTATATTTGATAAACTTCTGATTGTACTCTAGTAGTACAACCTATTTATGCACACACTGTTAAATATACGTAAGAATAAAAGAAACGTTTGACAAATCAACAAACTCGAGCGTTCTCAGACACAAAACACTCTACATAATTTAAAATGAGGTGATGAGTCTACACGAAACTATAGTCAATCACGATACCATATCCTAATAGATATTTCATAACTAAGAGCAAAAGTGACTTTTTTTGGTACGCATTCGTGTTTTAAAAGCGATGTACTATTTTCATCATACTGTGGAAATAACCTTCTAATCGTTAAAAAATTAGACCACATAATTTGAGGTTAAAGTCGTCATCAATGTTTACATTTCGGTTTATACAAACATACCTTAAAATATTGTGTGCTTAGCAGAGTTTTCAAATTGAAGGCCTACTAATATAATTACGCAGAAATGCTTCTTACTTACATCTCGAGTTATTTGGAAGCAATCCGTCTATCACCTTCCGAGACACAAAATCAGGAACACCTTCTTCCATGTTATTGTAATTTGTGTGTTTCAAATAGTAAACAACATTATTAATGTGCAGTGAACAATTTTGAGGTTAGCGAACCAAACATTTACCATATGTTTTTCTGTTCCCTATTTGAAGTTGAAAACGATGAATTTTGCCGACGATTTTGAGAACTAAAAACGGCTGTTTTCGGGACAGTATGAGGAAATATTACTAACAACTTAGTGACTTTAAAAGACGACTTGCATTACGAAAACAAGTCAGCTGATCGAAATAGCTGTAATTGCGTCATACCAGGTTGACTCTAATGATAAGACGCTTCAACCGTTGAGTCACTGCATGTCAATTATAACTTCTTGTGCCAGTTACAGCACTGGATAACTGTTAGAAAGGTGGAAAATATGATAACCACACATTCCCATTTCTTGTACGATGGTTTACGTCTGCTAACTACAGTTGTAGCATATTTCCTAGCAATATGCGCTTAAGACTGGTTCTGATATTACTTCTATTTTAGGAGGTTAAATTTACAGCATTTTTTATTGGACGAGGCAAAAAAGAAGGTGAAATGACTTTAAGCAAATCTTTTTATAGAGAATCTACTAAGGCATAGGTTCAAGACCAGCTAATTTCGTATTAGCTAATTCGTAATACATATTTTAACCGAGACTAACAATAAACTAAATTATTCATAATCAGCAAGCAGGAGAAAAATTATCATAAAGATCGAAATAAACTTTGCCTTGTCTGGGTTTGATTTCTAGAATTTGAAATACCGGAACTGAACTGGGAGACGTAAGCCCTTGGCTTTGAATTTCACAATTTCTTTAATTGTTCTTTCGTCATATGTACAGTATGAACTATGAATATTATTGTACACCCCAACAAAAAGTAGTAAATAATAAGCAGCAAAGGTATTTGTTTGAACAAGTTCTATCTATGAAGCTTGATTACAGAAAGATTTGTAGTCTAAAACAACCCGCGTAGTTAATTTATGCTCAAATAAAATACTAATTTTATTATAATAATAGAATCCAATAAAGGGTCGACCTTGGATAGGACATGGTAGTATTTTGGATGAATAATAGCCTTGTGATATAACGATTCCTTAGAGTAAAAAGACCACCGTTTAAACCCATGCAGCTTGGTCGCTAAGCCGGTTGATAGTATTTTTAATGAAATTATTAAATACGAAAAATGATATTGATAATCCACTTTTGTGTAAAAAAACATACGTGTTGGTATAATCATAGACAAATAGAATTAAATATAGACCGACAGTAGTGCTGGGTTTAGCATAAGTTCTGGCGTACACCACTATGAGCGCCGTGTAGTTGCTGCGCACGAAATACGTAACTAACGGCACTCCCAGCGGTGGACGCCAGAACTTATGCTAACTTCAGCACTGCTGTTGGTCTATGGTGTAATTCATGCACACATATATCAATCGTTTGCTCACCTTGCTCTGGGCGTATTGCAGGGCCAAATCTGTGAGGTGTTGGACAGACACGAACCCGGTGCCCTCTGGGTCACATAGCCGAAACACCTTCCTCAGCTGGTAGGCTGTGATGCGTCTACTGCTGGCCGGCATCTTCAACACTTCACTTCAGTCACTTCACCATCGACACTTCACTCACAGTTTCAACACTTCACCGACAAGTCCATATCTTAACTGTAGTAGTTTTCAAATTACGTTCGTACTCGAATATACAGATTTGTTCGTCATCGATTGGTTTGTTTAACAATTTGTTTTTAGAAGTTGGTGCAATCACTTACTGAAAAGTAAAACAATGAACAGTCAATATTGTATAGAGATGATATGTTGAACACGATATATTTACAAAATTGTAAGTTGATTTGTCAGTAAGAAAAAATTATGTTCAGTTTTGTTCAAAATACTCGGATTTAACTGTTATTTATGCCCATCCTTATTAATTAATTTTTAAAACAAAATGTAGTTTCCAAAGTATTTTTAAGCTTGGTGGCGTTTTTTTAGAAACTGTAATTGTACACAGATTGTAGTTAGAGTCTACGACAGATATAATTAGGGACCTACTGTGGCATGTTAGTACCTATGCGTTTATTGACAGGTATTTAACTTTGAAGGATCAATTGTTATAATACGTAATAAAACAATCTTATCTGGCATCCAGATCATGTTGTGAACCTTTTTTGACAGTTTATTCCCAAGTGGCATTTGGTTAAAGAGAGTTTAGGTTACCAAACACCTAACAAGTTAATTTAACAGAATAGGTAAACATTAATGACAAGAGCTGGACTTCTTGATGATACATTTTCTTTACTGACCCGGGATTTACTTCACCATCGCAACAATTACTGTGGGGTTAATCTGTAGGGCAATCACAAAGTTTACTACTACAAGGTGTTGAAAGTAAGACGCTAGGTTGTGAAAGCTGTGTACATAGTTTACGTGAACGAATACCATCGTACGGTCCGGTGTCCGAGGTTCCCTGTCTGAATGGTCCGCGTTCCAAAGTTCCTGGTCCAGTCTCGGTCTACATGTTGTGGAATAAACGGGAAAGTGACTCCTACGAACGTGGTGCTGAATTGCATGAACGGGATTGATGACACCACGGCCATCAGAATACCATTCATACTACCCCCGCCCAACATTCAACCCACAGCCAGCATCTGTACTATTTCATAGACAAAAAGAATTAAATATAGACTGCCAGCCGTGCTGTGGTTACCATGGTTACCATAGGTTCTGGCGCACACCACTAGGAGTGCCGTGTAGTTACGTAGCACGTACGCCGTAACTACATGGCACTCCCAGTGGTGTGCGCCAGAACGGTCTATATTTAATTTTTTTTTGTCTGTGGCTATTTATTTTTAACACAGCCACTTGTGCCCTTATACACCACAACCATCTATAACATGCATACCACATATTTATACGCTTCATACCACAGCCATCTATATTATTCATATCACTATCTTCTATGCTATACCAATCTTCAATTCATCAAAACCGTTCATACCATGGCCAGCTGAACTACTCATATACAGTATAACATTTATCTGCATTAGAGCAATTTAAACCATTTGTACCATTTAAACACCCATACCAGTAATCTATACGTTTAGGTACGTTTTGCGAAGGGACTTGAGATTTATTTAAAGCGGGGGGCGTTTTTAGCGTCCGTGAATTTTTTAGTAAGTGTTTTAGTTAGAGGTTTATGTTTTGTTTGTCCATGTATGCCTCATATTAGTGTGTAGGCTAATTGTATTTGACTATAAGTTTTATGACAGTCTAGGATTATTTTATTTTCATTTTCATTAGCTAGATTCGTTATCTATATCCATACAATTCATACCACAGCAATCCATCTATAGGCTATTATATTACAGCCATAGATACCATTTGCACATCCATTTAAGCGAGTATGCTGGTAGGGCATTCCTTTGTTGGGATTTCAGGTCGAATGCATCTGATGACTAAATCATTAGATCATTGTTTTGTCTAACTCTTTTGTGGAACAGAGTCATTGTTGCAAAACAATTAAAAGGTCAATAGTTTTGTATATCATTGAAGTTAGAAAAACTGTAACTTGAAACGCTTTATACAAGCTAGAGTATGTCAAATTACAACTAGGCCTATTGTATCGTGTACACGATTTATATAGAGCAATTGAATCGTTGCTATGGATTTCATATACTGTAGTTAATGTTAAACGCACAAATTGATTTTAAATTTTGAATCTCAACAAAATGTATAAATAAAAAACCTTATATTGTACTACGGACATCTTTAAATATGGAGGTGGTGGATTGTTGTTGCTTGATTTATTTTATGTTTGGTAATTTGTAACGGTAAAAGAGAATTCAATGATCTATGTAAATAACAAACAGCAAAAGGTACACATAATACCAAAATTAGTTTCAACTACTCAGAACTGTATTTTTCCCATATTGCAATCTAACAACAAACGTTAAAATTAATCTTTAAAATCTTTGGCAACTTTTATTTAAATGTGTATTTTGTTAACAAAATTGTTGCATTCCCTAATCATCATTTTCGGTGACAAATCTTATCGTGGCCAAACAAACAGACCACATTCGGGGAAGGACAGAGAGTGTGACTTTTAAAACAAATAATAAATCATAATTCCTGAGATGGGTGAGCTTAAAATTCACGGAATAACGCCGTATTTTCTTATCGCATTATAGTGTACTCTTATCTATGATATTTATCCAGACTTTGGTAAGATATAAGGGGAAAATCGCCACTAGTTACTCAACTTTTCTGAATAACAAGCACATTTGTTTAGTGCGGTAAATTTTACACTAATAAAATCCTAGCCACCTGAACAACTTAACAACACCCCATGATGTTGGGATATGTTTAGAAAAAAATAAATCATCGATAATAATGAATGTTCCCTTTAACAGGAAAGTACCACATTAACAGTTTTAAGTATTTTACGAGCTGCTACATTCGTGATTTGCAACGGAAAGAAAACGTGAACTAAGTAGCCAATATTGTGTATAAGTGTGTTTAAAAGTAAATAGACTCTATGATTTACTATGAAAAGATAAACTGATTTCAAAAGTGTAGACCTACTTACTTTCAACCCCTACTTCTGATGTCAATAGATCCAAATAAATATGACATCATACATTAGTGTAGCATTGACATAAATTACTTGATATTGACGCTTCATGAATGAGATGTTTTACCATAATTCTTCAATTTTAGTTCCAAGCCTCTTTATATGTAGCTTACAATATAAATTACAAATGAAATTGTGAGCAATACTCTACAAAACTCATACAACCTTTCTTTAACCAAACATAACCGACATAACCCTATTACTAAATAATAATAATCAGTAATCACACGAGACAACATTTTGCAACAACATACATAAACATTTTTCCGAGTAAATAAACAAACACCAGTTAATTGCATTGACCAGCTGTTTTATGAAATAAATTAAATCATTTTAAACTTAAGAAGCATCTCAGACGCAGTCCTTTGGAAATCAGCCTGCGGAGCAGAGCCGCAGAGCCCCTTATAAATTTGTTCATACCAATAATTTTCGGAAAATCTACGTACACTCTAAGCTTCATTTTGATGTGCCATAATATGGCATATTACGCCTATGGCGAGCATAGTTAAATACTAGAAAAAAATATTTATGGAAGCAAAGAAAATGTTCTAAGACTTCTAACGCTGTAGTCTTTAAAATTAAAACTTTAGAAGTGGCTTGCTAACCACCCAAATAATATAAACCTCTCAAAAATGTGATAATGCAACTGTTTTTTTTTTATTATTCAACATATTAGTACTTATTTGTTCTTAGGAAAGTGTGAACCCGATCATGCAATTGCAACAATGTATTGATATGCTGTAGTTCTAATGTACAACCTTCTACATCCTATTCCTTCCAGTCCTATTGCATGACAGTAGTAAACTATCAAATATTAAATAGAGAATTCCTTAAGTTTCCTTAGTATAGTAGTTCAATCGTATGCTATAGTGTTTTACCATTCAAATGAAGTGAACATTTTACCTACGAGACTCCGATCGACCTTACTGTTGTTATCAGGTGTGTTGTGCGACCTTGATAACGTTATGATAGTGGTTTGTTCAGCTGAAACGATAATTTACAATCGGAGTCTCATCAACGCGTCAAATTGCCTATGACTGTGACTCAGATTGCGGTTTAAAATACCTATAAAAAGGTAACTCACATTATAATTGTTGTTACCTGCTATGACGGCTTTAATTAGATACGGTATCCCAAAAAACATTCCGGTACAGTCATATTTTTTCTTATTTGTGTGTTGTGTCTTCACCAGTGGTATTTATTAACTATTTTGTATGGAAACTGTTCTAAACTTTACACACATTTAATTTATTTGATGAGATTTCAAAAGATTGTCAAAGATTAACAAATTACCCTTCGTTAGAGCTACGTAGTGAAATCTCGCTGTGTTGCAATGTGGTTGGTTTGGTTTTTTTTTAAGTTTGCAAAAACACTTTGCTAACGAGTTTAGGATGTATCTAATTTCAAAACTAAATAGACTTTCATTCTCTCATGAAAATCAATATAGATCAAGGAGACCACGTGATTCAATCGGTAATAAAGTAATCGAGATATACCTGATAGCATTAGCAAAAAGCTAAGTAGGTCGTGCTATATCGATTTCGATTGCAATGAAAACCCAGAAACCAGAGTATGAAACTGGTTTGGCAACTTCAGCAGCAATGTTACCTCAGGGGTTTTTCGTAAATATTAACTGGACCGTCGCAGAACACTTGTAACTGCAAAGGTAGGATGGAATAAATTTGGCATTCTGTATGTCAAATAAAGAGAAAACTAATTAACAAAGATTTGCAGTAAAAATGTAGGCCTAGAACAAAAGAAAGTTGGTATTTCTGTATGTCAAATTAAGACAAATTTCTCACTTACCCCCAAATAACAAAATGTTTTACAATTGCTCCAAAAATAAATCAATAAGTGAGCTTACAATTGATTTAAAACGAACTGTTAGCGTTTTTATCACAAAGCTAAAACTATCGATAGTGAGGGGATCAAACCCAGGCTATCAGACCTGAAGACCTCAGTTTCAGGCCTACTTATCAGACCTACAGAAC